GGGGGGGGGGGGTCTCTCTCCTCCCTGCCCCCTCTGGCCCGAGCCACCCTGCCACCCCCCACAATGGGGGCACAAGAGCCTCCTCCCTCTGAACCTCCTCCCCCGCGCCCCGCCCCAGAGGCGGCTGCATCAGCACCAAGTGAGGGGGCCCTGTATAAACAGCCCCCGCGTCCCGCCCCAGAGGCGGCTCCATCTCAGCACCAAGTGAGGGGGCCCTGAATAAACAGCCCCCGCGCCCCGCCCCAGAGACGGCTCCATCTCAGCACCAAGTGAGGGGGCCCTGTATAAACAGCCCCCGCGCCCCGCCCCAGAGGCGGCTGCATCAGCACCAAGTGAGTGGGCCCTGTATAAACAGCCCCCGCGTCCCGCCCCAGAGGCGGCTGCATCTCAGCACCAAGCGAGGGGGCCCTGTATAAACAGCCCCCGCGCCCCGCCCCAGAGGGGGGTGTCTTTGGTTACTGAATACAACTTGGTGCATTGTGTGCAGTCAGTGTCCTGCAGCTAGGGTGGTGGAATAACGCCCATTCGTTGCATTTCTTTCGGGCTGGGGGTTTTCTGCTCCGGGTCTCAGTTTTTTGCCATGCTCGGCTCAGCGGTTTCTGAGCTACGCCCCACACGGCCTAGGCATTCAAGGGGACATCCAACCCCGACACACACTTCCCTCCCCCCCACACAATCGGACACTGCTCAGAGGGAGCAGGGAGGTGTGGGGCAGGCCCTATGGCAGAGCTGGGGGTGGGGAGCCCAGGGCTGGGAAAGCAGGGGGCTGTGGATCGGGGGTGGGGGTGCTGACAGCAAGGCAGGGGGACCCCAGGACCAGGGGATGCCAGTGGTGAGGGGACCCCAGGGCCAGGGGATGCAGGGCATGGGGCACCGGCAGAGCAGGGGGACCCCAGGGCCAGGGGGCATGGGGCGCCAGCAGTGAGGCAGGGGGCCCCAGGGCTGGGGGGTGCAGGGCGCGGGGCACCGGCAGAGCCTGGGGACCCCAGGGCTCGGCCAGTGGGGTGTGGGGCACCAGCAGAGCAGGGGGACCCCAAGGCCAGGGCTGGCTGTTCTCTGAAAGGATCTGCTCTAGGAATTGTTTGGGGGCAGGACTCTGGCCTGGGTTATCCAGGGGGTCCCGCGAGGACCTGGCGTGACGTCAGGCTGCGTGAACCCTCCACTCACCTTGGACTCGCCCCCTCCCAGCACGTTGACCATCACCTCCATGACCGTCTCGTGCATGCCCAGCGCTCGCATCAGGTTGGGGTGCTGGTAGAAGACTTTGTTGTTCATGATGTTTCTGCAGAGGGAGAAGGGGACGGGGGGATATGGACCCTGCGGAGCAGGCGGCACCGGGCTGGGCTTTAGCCACGCTGGGGGCTGAGTCGCCGGTGAAGGGAGTGTGTGTGTGTGTGGGGGGTCCTCCACTGGCCTCTCACGACCTGGAGCAGGGAAGTGTGGGGCAGACCCTATGGCAGAGATGGGGATGGGGAGCCCAGCGCTGGGAGAGCAGGGGGCTGTGGATCGGGGGTGCGGGGCGTGGGCAGCGAGGGGACCCCATGGCGGGGGGGGGGGCAGGCGGCGAGGGGAATACCCGATGCTCTGGATCATGAGGGTCTCCTCCTCCGGGCCCATCTGCACGATGAGCAGGGAGCGGATCTGGCCCAGGCTCTCGAGCAGGCTCATGGCGTCGCCCACGGAGACGGCGTTGATGGTGTAGGCCCGGGGCAGGGCGCGGAGCAGCTCCCCGATGGCGTCGTACTGCCGGTGCAGCAGGCTGAACATGACACGCACCAGCGCCGGGCTCTGGATGAAGGACTCCTGCGCCCAGTGCACCATGGTGTGGGAGATCAGCTCCTGCAGCGTGCCTGGGGGGGGCAGGGGGCAGCGCCAGGTCACGGGGGGGGCGGGGGGCAGCGCCAGGCCCCGGGGGGGGGGGGGCGGCAGTGCCGGGTAGCTGGGGCACATGGGGCAGTGCCGGGGACAGCAGCAGCACCATGGCGCCTGCACACCAAGACTGGGGCACCCTGGGACCCACAGCTCAGGGGCCCTCTGCAATGGGGGGCCTAAAACAAGAGGCTTGGAGATCACTGGGGGTCCCTTCCCGCCAGCGTGACACCCCTGCATGGGGGGCAGTGCACGCCTGGCACCACCCACAGAAGGGATGCCATAGGTACCAGGCCCCCGGTTCCCCGTCCCAGCCAGCCCCCCAGCTACCGCCCCTCCCCAGACAGCCCCCCAGCTTTCCCCCAGCCAGCCCCCCGGTTCCCCATCCCAGCCAGCCCCCCGGCCACCACCCCTCCCCCAGCCAGCCCCCCAGCTCCCGCCCGGCTCACTGGGCGCCGGCTCCTCCTCGGGGGGCAGCTCCTCCTCCTGCTCCTTCTTCTTCTTCCGGAAGCTCAGCACCTTCTGCACCAGGGTCCTGAGCCGGTGTCGCAAGGACGTGTCCTCCTCCTCCTCCTCCTCCCCCCCCTCGGCCTCGATGCCTGGGGGGACACGGCACGAATGGGCCCCGGGGGTGGGGGGGACACATGGCGGGAGGGGACTCTGGGCCCTGGGGGACACGTGGCAGGATGGGGCCCTGGGCCCTGGGGGTGGGGGGACACCAGGCGGGACGGGGCCCTGGGCACTGGGGGTGGGGGTGTGTGACGAAGTGGGACTGTTCTTAATGTTTCCTCTGAATACTGTGTGGGTGCCTCAGTTTCCCCTATGCATTTCTTAAGTCTCTAGGGGGTGAGACTGTTGCAGAGCAAAGGGCCAGTGTGCATAAATGGCCGACACTCTGTCTTCTGGCACCTGATGGCCGGGGCCCTTCCCCCCCTGCAAGGTGCCCGCTGAAGGTGTTGGAGAACAAAGAGATCAGGTGACCTCCTGGCCCAGGAAAGGAACAAAACAGAGAAGGAGGGGCTGGAGGGGGTTTCAGTTTGGGGCTGGCTGGGGACTAGGAGTGAGGGCAGATGTGGGTGTCTGGCTTGCTGCCCCCCAGAATGGACCCGGCTGAGGGGTCCCGTTCTCTGTACCTACAAGTTCTGTTTTAGACCGTGTTCCTGTCATCTAATAAACCTCTGTTTTACTGGCTGGCTGAGAGTCACGTCTGACTGCGAAGTGGGGGTGCAGGATCCTCTGGCTTCCCCAGGACCCCGCCTGGGCGGACTCGCTGTGGGAAGCACACGGAGGGGCAGATGCTGAATGCTCCAAGGTCAGACCCAGGAAGGTGAAGCCGTGTGAGCTTCGTGCCCTGAAGACAGTCTGCTCCGAGGGAGAGGAGGCTCCCCAGAGTCCTGACTGGCTTTGTGGGGAGCAGTTCCAGAGCATCGCCCAGGGACGCCGTGACAGGGGACACCTGGTGGGATGGGGCCCTGGGCACTGGGGGTGGGGAGGACAGGACACCCAGCGGGACGGGGCCCTGGGCAGTGGGGGTGGGGAGGACAGGACACCCAGTGGGACGGGGCCCTGGGCGGGGGGGGGGGGGGGGGGGAGACCCAGGGGGACGGGGCGGGGGCCCCTCACCGCAGTGGCTCAGCAGGTCGGTGTGGAAATCCAGCAGCTCGTCGCGGATGTCCTCGGGCACCGGGCACTCCTCCTCGTCCGCCCCTTGCTTGAAGTGCAGCAGCATGTTGATCTGGGGGGGGCGAGATGGTGAGGCGCGGGGAGCATGGGGGGAAGGGGAGGATGAGCAGGCAGGGGCCGGGGCTGGACCACGGGCTGGTCCAGTCCCTGCCCCCCTCCCAATTCCCCCCCACGTCCCTGCCGCACGGACGTCCCAGGGCTGGCCAGGGGCTGGGCAGTGTGCCGGGGCCGGTGAAGTGCTGGGTTGTGTGCTGGGGCTGGGCGATGTGCCGGGGCTGGTGAGGTGCCAGGCGGTGAGCCGGGGCCGGGCGGTGTGCCGGGGCTGGTGAGGTGCCAGGCAGTGTGCTGGGGCCAGGCTGTGTGCCGGAGCCGGTGAGGTGCCGGGTGCTGTGCCGGGGCCGGGCAGTGTGCCGTGGCCAGTGAGGTGCCAGGCAGTGTGCCGGGGCTGGTGAGGTGCCGGGGCCAGTGAGGTGCCGGGTTGTGTGCTGGGGCCGGGCGGTGTGCCAGGGCCGGTGGGGTGCCGGGTTGTGTGCTGGAGCTGGGCGGTGTGCCGGGGCTGGTGAGGTCCCGGGCAATGTGCCAGGACTGGGCGGTGCACAGGGGCTGGTGAGGTGCCGGGTTTTGTGCCGGGGCCGGGGAGGTGCCGGGGCTGGTGAGGTGCTAGGTGATGTGCCAGGACTGGGCGCTGCACAGGGGCCAGTGAGGTGCCAGGCAGTGTGCCAGGGCTGGGTGCTGTGCCGGGGCCGGTGACGTGCCAGGCAGTGTGCCGGGGCTGGGGAGGTGCCGGGGCCGGTGAGATGCCGGGCGATGTGCCAGGACTGGGCGGTGCACAGGGGCCAGTGAGG